CCGCAGAAGGTGCGAAGGCTGGGGGGTGGGGCGGGGCGCTCGCGGGGAGCTGCCGTTTCAGGCCTCACCTTCCTGCTTCTTCGGTGCAGTGACTCCCACTCGGATTCAGACAGTTCTTACTCAGGGAACGAGTGTCACCCTGTGGGTCGCAGGAACCCGCCCCCAAAGGGCCGAGGAGGTCGGGGGGCCCACATGGATCGGGGCCGAGGCAGGGCGCAGCGTGGAAAGAGGTGAGACTTTGGGCAGGCGGCCAGGGGGCAGCGCCAAGATCAGCGTTCCTGGCAGAAGGAGGGCTGTGTTCTCGGGAAGTATCCGGAGAGGCAGATGGTGACCACGTTCACCCCTGACCTGTCTTCCCAGGCATGACCTGGCTCCCACCAAACGCAGCCGCAAAAAGATGGCTGCTCTGGAGTGCGAGGACCCTGAGCGTGAGCTGAAGAAGCAGAAGCGGGCGGCCCGCTTCCAGCATGGACATTCCCGCCGCCTGCGCCTCGAGCCCCTGGTGCTGCAGATGGGCAGCCTGGAGAGCAGCGGCGCGGACCCCGACTGGCAGGAGCTACAGATTGTGGGCACCTGCCCTGACATCACCAAGCACTACCTGCGCCTCACCTGCGCTCCCGACCCGTCCACTGTGCGCCCTGTGGCAGTAAGTGTCTGGGAGGGCTGGGACCCCCTGCAGGCCCGGCGCTGGCACTGGGGGCTGTGGGGGGGCAGCAGGGGCCTGCAGCTGCGTGGGGACAGGCTCTGGAGCCTGTGTCCAGGTCGTGCGGCCTCCTCGGAGGCCTCCCCGGCTCTGAGCGTCGGGCTGTTGTTGAGGCAGGGAGAAGGAAGCCACCTCCCCAGGCCAGTGCTTCACGAGATGGGCGAGCCTGCCGCCCTGTCCTCCATGGGGCGAAGCCGCGTGGCTGACGGTCCGCCCAGGGTGCACGCTGGCGGGGGCAGCTGAGACTTCGGAGGCGGCACTCATGCTGAGTGTTTTGGGCTCCTTTTATTTATTTATTTGTTTTTTAATTTTTTTAATTTTTTTCTGAGATAGCATCAGCAGGGGAGGGTCAGAGAAAGAAGGAGACACTGAATCTGAAGCAGCTCCAGGCTCCGAGCTGTCAGCACAGAGCCTGACACGGGACTCGAACCCACAAACTGCGAGATCATGACCTGAGCCAAAGTCGGATGCTTAACCGACTGAGCCCCCCAGGCATCCCATTGGTTCCTTTTAAAGTGGGCAGCGAGTTGTCAAGTGGCTTTGATATTGTAGCTGTTTTCTTAATGCCGAATTTAAGAAATTGTAATGGGTGTTCGTTATGGCCTTGCCCATTCTGCCGAAATCACACCAAGCCTGTTTGGTCCCCTTCCCAGGTTTTGAAAAAGTCCCTGTGCATGGTCAAGTCCCACTGGAAAGAGAAGCAGGACTACGCCTTCGCCTGCGAGCAGATGAAGTCCATCCGGCAGGACCTGACGGTGAGGGGGTTGCCGGGAGGGCCTGCTGTGGCTGAGCCCGGCCTCCCCCAGCCTACCCCGGCCTCACCGCTTACCCTGCTCTTCCAGGTGCAAGGCGTGCGAACAGAGTTCACGGTGGAGGTGTACGAGACGCACGCCCGCATCGCCTTGGAGAAGGTGAGTGGGCGCTGGGGCCCTTTCAGCCTCTTCCGGGGCTCCCCGTCGTGGCCTCACTGTGTCCCTTGTCCTCCGTGCCCCCGGCTCCAGGGTGACCATGAGGAGTTCAACCAGTGCCAGACGCAGCTCAAGTCGTTGTACGCCGAGAACCTACCGGGCAATGTGGGCGAGTTCACTGCCTATCGGATCCTCTACTACATCTTCACCAAGAACTCAGGAGGTAAGAGGAGCCACCTGCCGGTCAGGGTGGTTCCAGGCCCCCAGGGTTGGGCACTCCTGACCCCCATCTGTCTCGGGCCCTAGACATCACCACGGAGCTGGCGTACCTCACTCGGGAACTGAAGGCAGACCCTTGCGTGGCTCACGCCTTGGCCCTGAGGGCAGCCTGGGCTCTGGGCAACTACCACCGCTTCTTCCGGCTCTATTCTCACGCGCCCTGCATGTCTGGGTACCTGGTGGACAAGTTTGCAGACCGGGAGCGCAAAGCTGCCCTCAAGGCGATGATCAAAACGTATGTGAAGCTGGGTTCTCTCCCTGCCCCCTCTTCGCTGGCCCCGCCGCCATCTGCCCCTTCTCCCCCCCTCCCTCCGCACACTCCTGGGCTGTCAAGCCTCCAGCTCCTGTCCCAGGGCCTGTGGTCCTCTCTGCCCGTCTCTTCTTTCCACGTGTGCCCTGCTCCCCAGTCCCTCCTGCTTCCCTTCACAGTTTACCCCCCGCGTCCCCTGTGCTCCCCGCTCTGTCTCGCTGCTCCGGGGCGCCCTCTCCACCCCCCTGAGTCTGTTTCTCCTGCTCATGTACGCCTGGACCCTGGTTTCTCTTCTTGCTCCGGGCTCTTGGTTTCCTTCCTCCAAGGTCTCTGCTCACCTTTCAAGCCTTTCCTGTCACCCACCTCCCACTCTGTAGGGACAGACTAGGAAGGACAGCCCTGCCCTTGGTAGCTTCTGATGCGATGAGACAAGAGCCTGATTCTGGCTGAGCTCCTTTATGAGTGCAGAGTGTTGAGGGAGACGGGTGATTCTGGGCCGAGCCAGGGCCGGCCGTTCTGTTCAGATGTCGTTAGTGCTGTGTGCATGCATGCGTGTGGGGGGGCACCTGTGCTCCTGTGCTCAGGGCAGGGAGACCCCCTGGGTGACCTGGGCCCACATGAGACCTTTGTCGTTGTCACAACAAGGGGGCGCCACTGGTGTCTAGTGGGTGGGGCCTCTTATGCCCAGGGCGCCCCACAACAGAGAACCACCCGGCCCCAGCGCCAGTCTCGCCAAGGTTGAAAACTCTTGGTCAGAGGTCATAGGGCCAGAGGGCCATGTCCACTAGCGTAGCCTCAGGGACAGTGTGAAGCTGAGGAGGAACAGTCACACTGAAGTCAGGAGATGCACACGTTCAGGGGTCCAGTTTGGGTCCAGGAGATTGGAGGCAGAGGCCGAGCCAGGGCAGGGCCACAGAAGTGGAGGCCAGGACGTGGGGCAAAGACCCGAAGGCGGCCCGGAACACGGGACGTGCTTGTGTCGCAGGGTAACGGGAAGGGGTGTGTCTGGAGGCCCTGGGGGCTGGCCCTCAGTCTGCCCTCTGCAGCAGGACAGCCGTCCCGGGGGGGCGCAGGCAGGCTGTGCCTTGGAGCAGGGGCCATGCCTTGGAGCAGGGGCCCTGGCCTGTCACTGGCCACACGTGCTCTCTCACCCCTTCCTGACTCCCTGGCAGACACGTCCCTCCCTCCCAGAGCCTCCAGAGCCAAGTCCCGGCAGGGCGAGCCGGAGGCCGGGTCAGATGTGGGGAGAAATAGGCCCTCTTGTGCCCCCTGTGGACATCCAGGGCCACGATGTGGCACAGGCGTGAGGCAGGACTGGTTCCCGTCCTCTCTGCCGCTGAGTCCCCGTGTGATGTGCAGCCCCGGGCTCCTTCATGTGTTTGTGACGGGCAGGGGTGGCACGGTTTCTGGGAGAGAGCTCAGCCAGGTCACCACCGTCTTCTGGCACATGCCAAGCATCTCGTTCGCAACTGCAAGTGCCTGTCGCCAGTGTGCAGGGGTGTAGTGTGGGCTGGTCCTGTGCCCAGGTTCCCCAGGCACTCTGACCCAAGCAGGGCCAGTTCCCCAGATTAGCTGTCACCTGCCAGCCCGTGCCCATGGCCGTGTCCTTAGGTCATGCCCTCTGCCTGGCCCCTGCCCTTGGGCCACAGTGGGCCCTCTTCTGAGGGCCTGCTCAGGCCCTTGAGCAGCGGAGGAGCCAGCTGGGCCCTTCCCTCCCATCCCCTCTCCTTGGTCCCCCCGTACAGGTAAGTGAGGGTGAAGGGGGGCACAACTGGGGCTGGGGCCACCACCCCCGCCCCGGGCCCCCCCGAGCCCCTGGAGGTGGGAAGGGCGGGTAGAGGGTTGGTGAGAGGTCAGCAGGTAACGTGCTGAGGAAGCCCTTTGGGTGCCCGAAGGGGGGGCGCCCACTCCCTGCTCGTGGGGCCCTCCCCTGCCCGCCGCCCGCCTCATCACATTCTCCTCTTGTCTCCGTAGCTTCCGCCCTGCGCTGCCAGTCTCCTACCTGCAGGCCGAGCTGGCCTTCGAGGGCGAGGCCGCCTGCCGGGCCTTCCTAGAGCCCCTGGGCCTGGCCTACACGGGCCCGGACAACGCCAGCATCGACTGCCGCCTCAGCCTGGCGCAGCTATCAGCCTTCTGAGCACCAGCGCGGATGGGGGTGGGGTGGGGGCAGGGCCGCGGCCCCCCAGCGCCGCCTTTGCCGATTTTGTTTTTGAGCCATGGACTTGGGTTGTAAATTAATTCATGGGGAGCGGGCTCCAGGAAGAGCCGCCGTCCCTGTCCCCGTTTTCCCACCGGGGAGTCTGTACAGAGATTTTTTTCTACATTTTTATTTTTTGTCTCAGAGGGACGGGATCGGGGGAGGAGGGGGTGGGACAGCGGAGGGCTGGGGGCATGGTCTGTAGGCTGCTCTGTGTCCACCTGCACCTCCACTAATGCTGTCTCAGTGTTTTCTCTCTCTCTCTCTCGAGCTTGTACTCCGGTACCAACCTGGCACCCCGGCCCATCCCATGCCGGGGGGGGGCCGGAAGAAGACAGGCCGCTCCGCCCATGCCCGCCTGCGGCGGGGGCACCAGCACCCCAGCCCGCCGCCTGCCACCCGCCCGCCTCACCACAGACTCTTGTTGCCCAGCCCTCCGGGGCCTCAGTGTTCGGGGCTAGGGGAGCCGTGTAGAGACTGTGCCCCACCCTCAGCCCCCCACGCCAGAAATGCCGCCGCCAAGCCGCCACCACGTCCCCGCCGACACTGCGCACTGAGGACTCCGGAGGCCATCATCGCGGGACCTCGGCCGGGCCGCCTCGTCTGCAGTTGTATTAAGTTGTCTCCGTGTCCCTCCTCCCTCCACCCCAGTGTTTCTTCTGGTTTTTTTTTCCTTCCCTCCCTCCTCCTCCTGCCCCCCACCCTTCCTTGGTTCAGCACAGGTAAAACGGTTACCCTCCCTCCCTCCCTGCCTTCATGGATCACCAGCTCACGTCATGTTTCCTTCTCTTTTCTTTTTGTGTGTGTTTATTTAAGTTATTTTCTTCCTCCCCTTTTTCTTTTTGCCCCCCCCTCTTCTGCCATGTAACTGGAGGATGTGCAATGAGTTTGCAAACAGCTGGACTGTCAGGCTGCTTCTTTTCCAGATGTTCCTCCTCTGCCTCCCCTCCCTTCCCTCTTCCCTCCCTTCTCCTTCCTTCATTCTTTTCCTTGGATCACTGAGCACCATTTGGAAGCTTGAGAGAAACCAAAATTAAAGAGAGAGAGAGAGAGAGAGCACTTTGTTTCTTCCTGCTTAGACTGGATCTTCTCCGGTTCTTTGGGCTGGAGATCTGTCTCCTCCAGAGGTCTGAGGGGGGCCGTCACCCCAGGGGCATCTCGGCCAGGGGCTGGTAGGTCTCTCCTGCCCTGCCCGTGCGGCACAACCAAACTTTCCCCAGGGGTTGGCTCCCCAGCTCCTGTCCTGGGATGACGTCGGGCTCAGGGAGGCAGACTTGAGAACCCTGGGGCACCTTCGCTAGGGTGAGGTGGGGGTGCAGCCCCCCTAGGGGCTGAACTACTCTGAGCCCCTCCGCTTCCAGCCTCTGTTGCAACACTTGGGCCATGTTTTCTAGGGAGGGCCAGGGAGGGGCACAGAGTACATGGTGCTTCAGGAGAAGCAGGCGCTGAAACCTCAGCTGCGGGGGTGCCTGAAGCCCTGGGGCTGAGAGCGCACGTCTCAGTGCACCGAGGGCCGCAGCTACCTCCCCAGGGCCTGCTAGTCTCAGGAGGGCCAGTGTCAGGTGCAGGGCGCCCGCGGGTACCATGAACGTAGCGCACCAGGGTGCAGCTCGGACCAGCTCTTCTTGGGCCTTGGCCACGCCCGCCTGCAGCCGGGGATCAGTCACCATGAGAGCCACAAAATGCGTGGGACGGGGCTGGCGAGGCCCCGCGGCCCTGGCGCCAGCAGCCTCTCCACCGTCCAAGGGCCAGGCCCCAGGACCCCACTCTGCTTCCGTTTCCGGGAAATCCCCCACGGGCCGTCCTGGGGCACCCTGGACCTGCGCCTCCCCCCGTGACTCCGTGGTCCTGGCTACGGTGGCCGGCCTCCGCACCCCTTCTAGCTCTGTCCAGTGGGGCACTCTGCGCTCTTCCGTTCGGACGTCAGTGGGGGCGGCAGCTACGCTGTGGAGCGTGTTCTCACTGCTGCCGTGCACACGCCGGGACCCGCGGGCGTCCTCGCCACCGTGCGCATCCTGGGGGCTGTGGGCATCCTCACTGTCGCACTCGTCCCGGGCCCCGTGAATGTCTTCACAGGCACGCGAGTCCTCGCCGTCGTGCGTGTCCCGGGGCCCGTGGGCGTCTCCACTGACACGGGCGTCCTCGCTGGCCCGCGGGTCCCAAGACCCATGGGCTTCTTCGCTGGCACGTGCGTCCTCGCCGTCGAGTGCTTCCCGGGGCCCGTGGGCGTCCTCGCCGTCGAGCGCGTCCAGGATGGTGGGTCCGCGACCCGCCGCCGAGCCCGAGCCAAAGACGAGGTCGGTGCGCGAGGCGCGGTCCCACACGAGGCGGCCCCGGAAGCGGAAGTAGCGCACCCGGTGCTGCGGCACTGCCAGGACGCCGGGCCCCAGCGCCGCCAGCGGCTCGTCCCAGCAGAAGGCGCAGAAGGGCTCCTCGCGCACGCCCAGGAAGCGGTCGGCGTAGCCCACAGAGAAGTCGGCCGGGTCGAGGCGCGGGTCCCAGCGGATGCGCTGGATGACGGCCGAGGCCGTGCGCAGCGGCGGTTTCTTGGCCTCGGCCTCGGCCTCGCGGTTAGGCCGTGCCGACGCCGGCGCCCCGGGGTGGGGCTGGCGGCAGCGGGCGCCGAAGCGACAGCGGCCCTCCAGGAAGAAGCGGCAGGCGGGCGGCGGCGCGGGCTCGGCCGCCATGGGAGCGGAGTGCTCCGGAAGCGCCGCCGGGCCGCCGCGAAGCCCGGCCGTGACGTCACCCGCCCCGCCGCGCGGGAGTCGCGCACGCGCGCTCGCGGGGCCTCCGGTCCCGGGCCTGGCGCCCGGCTGTCCGCGGAGGTGTCCTGCGGGAGCCCGTCCCCGCCTCCTCCGCGGACCAGCGGTTCTAAAGGATGTACACGCTCGGCACCGCCCCCAGGGTGCCGGCCTTCGTCAGTGCCTCCGAGGAACCGGACCCGGCTCCCTCCGAGGCCTCAGTCCGAACGATTTACAGGCGCGGCCCCGCCCGGCTTCGGCCTCGGCCGCGGTCTGCGTGTACAGCCCCGCCTCTTCTAAGTTTCCAGAGTATGGCTCCGCCCCCGCCTACGTGATTTGCATGGGAGGCCCCGCCCCCCGTAGGCTAGGTTCCGCCCTTCGCCCACCTACAGCGTTTTCAGAGTTTTCAGTGCTGCTGCGTCCCTCGGGGTCCTGGGTGGGTCATGCCCTCCGCGGGACAACTGGACTCCGGCAGACTTAAACTAGGCAGCCCTGACATGGGACGCCGCTGTCGCCCTTGAGCCGACACATCTGGGGCCGGAGGGGGGGTTTCCTCCACCGGGACCCAGTCTCTCCGGACACCCCTGCGCGGCCGCTCACAGGATAAAGGGCAGCTTCCCCCGGAGGGTTCACGGGAGACGCGGGCCAGGAGGCTGAGGCTCCCGGAGCCCCTGCACTCGGTCCTCTGGAGCGAGTCGGTGGGAGTGCGGTGGCCCCCGGGAGCGACTCAGCAGCCTCCCAGGCCTCGAGTCAGGAATCCTCCCGGGGGAGTCAGCGGGTGCTGGAAGCCTAGTGCGTCCGTGGGAGGCGAGTCAGGCGCCCACCCCCGGGAGCGGGTCATCAGGCTCCCAGGCTGTGAGTCAGGTGGGCCCCTTCCTGGAGCGAATCAGGTGGCTCCCAGGAGCAGGTGAGGCCGGCCTTCCGTCATAATTGAGGAAGGAACACCGTCCAACCACGCCTCCCCTCTGTTAAAGGGGCCACATTCTCACCAGGGCAATCTTAGGACCTCGACCTTGGTCCAGTCTCTGCGGGGCACCGAGCTCCAGGTGACACACCTGGCCCTTACAGGCTCCGGGACCCCATCACCGACACCCCAGCCCGCCTCCCCATGTTCCCTTCCTACGTGCCAAGTAAACAGACAGAACGGAGACCTTAGCCATTTATGTATAAAGAAGTGGGGTGCCGGACGGTAAAAGCATCGGGAACAGGGGTGCCTACAGGCCGATGACGTCGTCCAGCTCGAGGTCTGCGTTGGGGTGGCAGCGGGCCCTGGGGTGCTGCGCCCCGGAGCTGGGGTCCAAGTCGGGCTTGGCGGCAGCGGCCCCCGGGCGCTCCGCGTCCATGACGCCCAGCACCGCGTCCAGCATGGAGGGGCCCAAATCCAGGTGGAAGGAGAGCAGCGGGTCCGCGGGCGCGGGCGCGCGGAGGGCGGGCGGCGGGGGCTGCGGCACCGCGGGCGGCGGCGCGGAGCGCGGGGCCCCCGCGGGCGGCGCCCGGGGCTCGGGGGGCGGCCCGCCGCCGTGACGGCTCAGGAACGAGGTGTCCCCGAAGGCGTCGCCGCCGCGCCCCACGTGCAGCGTGTGCCGGAAGTCGCCGAGCGGCGCGGAGATGGAGAGGGTGCCGCGCTCCGGCCGCTTCTTGGGCTGCGCGGGGCCCAGCTGCTTCAGCACCGGCATCTGCAGGGTAGGGCCGGGTCAGCGCTGCCCCCGCCGGGTGGGTGCGAGCGAGGCCGCCCTGGGCCTTAGGCAGCAGGCGCCTCAAAGGAGGGATTACTTCAACTTCACAGACGGGGAAACTGCGGCTCCCGGAGGCCCGAGGTCGCAGACCCCAGAAGAGGTCGGCCCGCGACCACCACCACATGCTGATTCCGCTAATTACTAATATTCGAGTCTCCCTAATCATAGGCCAGGCACCAGCGCTTCGCCAGCTCTTCGCGTGTTTCCTGAACTTGACGGAGACACTCCAGCTTCTGCCGGAGACTCCCAGGCGCCTTCCCTGAAGACAGGCAGGCTGGGTCCATGGGGGGCAGTGGGCCCAGTGCCTGGGGCCCACCACACTTGGAGAGGCCCAAGAAAATGTTAAAATGCTCTAGTCTGTTTTAAAATGCGTGGGAAAGATTTGCCTTTACACCAACACAGCTATAAAATATAAATTAGTATATATCCACGAGACCTTTGCCTAGGACACACGCAGGCCCCGAAGCAGGCCTGCCTAGAAACTCAAATTCAGTGTTGTGGGGGTTTTTTTTTGGGGGGGGGGGGGGGGGCGCTGGGAACCTGTACACTTGCACAGCATTTTATAACTTGAGTTATTTGATTTTGAAAGAGACAATATCATGTCTTACTTTCTGCAGATTTCTCTAAAAATGAGCCAGAACGGCATAAATTTGAAGCCGGCAACTTGTGTACTACAAAAATAGGTGTGTTATTGCCTCATGGCTGCCCTGGGCTCTGTGGTAAGTAGAGCTGCCTGCCAACTTCGCCCACATCCTGGAACCCGGCTGTTTTTATGGAACTTTCGGGAGGGGCTCTGATGACCTTGTACTTTTGTTTTAACAGTCACTGTTATCATCATCATCATAAAAAGAAAATCTATTTGAATCGAAGCACCACCCTTTGCCAGCTGTATGATTGGGATACATTATTTGATTTCTCCATGTTTCCTCTCTGTAAAATGGATAAAATAACATGACCTTCCTTGCAGGGCACGTAGAAAAAATTTGATTAAAGGAAACTATACCTGTAATAGTGCCAGATAATTGGTGGTGCCAGTTGTGGGAAGGGGTGATGTGTCCCCAAATAAGTATAGAACACAATTTAGACTTGCTAAAACCCTATGAAGAAGGCAAAATAGTCAGCGCTATTCTTTTAGTAACTAGCACACTGGGAAACAACAGTGATCATGCAGAGAAAAATTAAAGCTGAAAGGACTTAAAATAATTGTAGCTGGGTGTGTTCTGAGGATTATCCTTTACCCCATCCCAACACACACACACACACACACGCTTTATGTTTATTTCCCTGGAAAAACCAGTCTTGATTTTATCCCCTCTGTACTGTTTCTCAAACTCATTCTGACCTCAGCCTGGATGAATACCTGCCATGCAATTGCCTCTCCTCCCCACCACCTCCCAATAAAGGAAACAAACATTTGATGAAACAAGACTTACAACATTCTAAGGTGCTCAGATGTTTTCAATCCTAATCTATTTATTTTCATTTCTGACCTCTGCTAATTAATGAATCTCAGTCCGCAGTGTAAACTTTTAAAAATTCTGCTCCCAGTGCTAGCGGGTGCCCATCATTACTGTGCCGTGAGCTGTAGGTGAAAAGAGCACCAGAGGCGCCTGGGTGGCTCTGTCGGTTAAGCATCTGACTTGGGCTCAGGTTATGATCTCATGGCTTGTGAGTTCAAGCCCTGCGATGGGCTGTGAGCTGACAGCATGGAGCTTGGAGCCTGAAGCCTGTTTCAGATTCAGTCTCCCTCTCTCTCTGCCCCTCTTCCACTCATCCTTGCTCTCTCTCTCTCTCTCTCTCTCTCTCTCTCTGTAAACAAACAAACAAAACAACACAGCTCAGCCAACTGCCCAGGTTTCAGTCTGGCTATGTGGTGTGGCCTTGGGCAGGTTACTTAACCTTTCTGATCTCATTTCCTCCTCTCAAAAAGGAACTTAGGAACACAGGGTGTTCCTATAACACGTCATAGTCTCTTTGCAAGAATTGGTGACATGCTGCCAATAAAGTCTGGACACATGACCCAAAATATAGCCAAAGCAAAAATTCAATAAATGCTCAGTAGCCACCTTAGATCATTCTTGCAAGGCCCAGAGAAGGACATACTCAGAGAGGGAAAGTGACTTGCCCAAGGTCACAAAGCCAGCTGTCTGGGACTCTGGAGCCCAGACTTACCACTTCCAGTGCCTGCTGCCTCTTGGGAACTGACCCTCCCTGGACAGCTCTCAGCTACTGGCTCTCCCTGGGGCCCACACCCTAGCTTGTCCCTCATGCCATCCTTCTATGGCCCTCCCAGGCCACCTTACCACCATTTTCCAGTGTCTGGCCAAACACACCTGCATTTCCTTTCTGTGGGACCCTGAACTACCTTCTTCAACCTTAAATCTCAGTTTACTCCACTGAAAAATGGGAGTTAGCCTTTCTGCTGGGGGTACTGAAAAGTATATTCATGATGCTGATATTGTATTCCTAAACCTTTATTCTGGGCCACGTGGGGACCTAAATGCCTTACTCAAATAAACAAACTCATTCAATCCACAGAACAAACCCAGTGAGGGGAGAGACCCTTATTTAACAGATGTGGTGGTCGAGGCACAGAGATAGGGAGTAACTTGCCCAGAGTCACAGAGCAACAAGTGTTGGGGGCCAGGTTTGGACACCAGGCAGAGTCTAAACTTGAGAGTCTAAAGATGACTGTCACATTGCTCACAGCCCCCCTTGGATGGGGTGGGTGGATGTGCATCCCCATGGGAAAACCAACGTTCGGAGATGCTATAAAGGCCAGAGATTTCCTACACTCTTGACCATCTCTGTTAGCTTTGCTTTGTTTCCACTCCAGACTGAGAGCAATGAATTAGAAACGGTGTTCTGAGTGTGGCCTCCTCTTACTAGCTCGGAGGGCCCCGGGCAAGTCACCCCAGCCTCAGTGTCGTCTTAAACAGAAGGCTATAGCCTCCCTCCAGCAGGGCTGAGTGCTTGATGCAATGAGATCACGCTCGGAAAAACTCCGGCAGCCCGCCAAGGCTCCTACAGAGCAGCCGTTGTTTGGCCGAGTGCGAGCGCAAGGGTGGGACCCCGGGGCCCCCGGGCCGCCCTCCCCCGCCTCCCTGCTCTCCTGCTGGCCCGCAGCTCCAGCTGCAGGAGAGGGGGGCACAGCTGGTGCACCTCCGTCCCCTCCGGCCCCAGCCCCGCCAAGACGGAAACAACCGTCCGCTCCAGACCCGGCCCGACCGGTTCTCAGCTCCGGGGGAGAGGCGGCCGGGCGGGTGAGGCCGAGGCGGGGCCGGGCCCCGAGTGGGAGACCCCCGCCCCGTGGGCTCGCCGCGCTTCCTCGGGCCACGTGGCTGCCGCCCGGACTCCAACGCCCGCCGTCCTTTCGCCCGTCTGGTTCCGCGTCCCCCCGAACCTGACCCGGGACCCCGGGACCCCGGCGCCCCGCTGCCCTTACCTCGTGGCTGTCGCTGAGTGGGGCGGACGCGTTCTCGGGCTGCGACGGGGACCCCCTTCTCCTTGGTCTCCTCGGCCTCCGGGTCCCAAGCCCGCACCTTCTTCCTTCTGCCTCCAGGCGGATCTCACCTGGCAGAGGAAGTGTCCTGTGGCACCCGGAGGGGCGTCCAGGACCCAGGCGTCCTCCTCCTCAGGACCCCTCTTCTCTCAGGCTCCAGGGGCCCTGCCTCCTACCTCTCTTACTCCTCAGACCCACGACTCCGAGCTCCCAAACCCCCTCCCCTGCCTCCGACCCTCCCTCCTTCAGACCCAGGAGTCCGGGTCCCCACCCCTGGCAGGCCCTGGCCTCGGGTCCCTTCTTTACCTGCACCGGGGACCGAAGTGTCAGCCCCTCTCGGGGGCCATGGTAGGAGCCCGAACGGGCCGCGAAGTCACTGCCCAGTCCAGCCCAGTCCCTCTGGGGCAGAGAGGGTTAAGGCGCAGGCCCCTCCCAGCCTTCCTTATCCCCCAAAAGTTTGCCTCTAGGATTTAAAGGACTAGAAAGCGGTGGTGGAAAAGCAGAGGCCTCCGGGCTGAGCGTGGGGGCGGGCCTGGGCAGGGACCGGGTGCGCACAGAGGACACGCAGAAGGGGGGGGGACAGGGCGCGCCCCCCAGCCCGGCCCCTCCCCCTGCCCAGCTTGGAATTTCCTGAAACTGGGGAAGTCTGGCTGTTTAGAAGAGTAATTTCTTCCAGATTGCAGCTGTTGGAGGAGTGTGTGTGTGTGTGTGTGTGTGTGTGTGTGTGTGTGTAGGGAGGACAGGAGAGAGGGAGGGAGAGGGAGAGAGAATATGGGAGAATGGAACAGACAAGGTCCCTGAGACCCCAGGAGTCGGTCTGACCCTGCTTTGGAGAGTTTTCCTGGGCGAATTTCCCTCCTGAAGCTGCTCATAGAAAGGTCATTCCGTGACTCTGAGCGTTTGCACCTTTCGGTGACAAAGAGTCTAAGATTTGAACGTTGGGAAGATCCCTCCCAGAAGGCTTGAGGGAGGGCTTTCCGGGAGAGTGAGGTCCCCAGAGAGGAGGCTGGCGGGAGGAGAGGTGTGGAGAGGGAGGCCCGGGGAAGAGGCTCTCAGTTGTGAGCTGGGGCGAGAGAAGAGAGTCGGTCTCGCAGGTAACAAGGAAGTGCAGCTTGAACAACACCCCCCCCCCCAGAAGGGGTGGGTTGTAGAGCTGAGGAGGAGAGGAAGGACACTCAGAGCAGGCTGGGAGGCCAGGTGATCAGAGGAAGACTCCAGGCACAAAGAACTGTCTAAAGTGCAGAGATCAGCTCCAAAGCCACTGGGAGCTTAGATTTCTGTCCCAGAGACTGGGGTACTGAAGGGGTACCCCAGACAGGATAGCAGGATGGAATCCAGGTATTAGAAAGTTCCAGGGGTGGGGGAGCACCTGGGTGGCTCAGTCGGTTAAGCATTCCTCTTTGGCTCAGGTCATGATCTCAGTTTGTGAGTTCAAACCCCGCATCAGGCTCTGTGCTGACAGCGCAGAGCCTGCTCAGGATTCTCTCTCCCTCTCTCTCTGTCCTTCCCCCTGCTTATGCTCTCTCTCTCTCAAAAGAAATAAACTGAAAAGTAAATAAATAAAATAAAATTACAGTCCCTAAGGCTCCCCATCCCTTTGCCCTGCTAAAATAAATAAATAAATAAATAAATAAATAAATAAATAAATAAATAAATAAAAGAAAAAAGTTCTCTCTGGGATTCACAATGAGGAATGCTGCATTTCAAATCCAGAGCAAAATTTAGGGTGGATTGGGGGATGGGGTACACAAAACTCAGTAACCAAAGTAAATAATATACTTAAATATAGACTTTTATCAAATATTGTAATTGATGTTAAATTCACATAACATAAAATGAACTATTTAAAAGTGGTGTTTGGTACATTCCCAATGTTGCACAGCCATCACATCTGTCCAGCTCCAAACTGTCACCCCCTGAAGGAAGCCCCTTATCCCGAAGCCAGTCCCCCCATCTCCCACCTGCAGCTCCTGCATCTACCAGGCTGCTTTCTGTCTCTCTGGATATGCTTGTTCCAGATGTTTCAGATACACAGAATCCTATGCTATGTGGTCTTCTGTGTCCGCCTTCTCTCACTGAGCATGGTGTCCTCAAGGTTCATCCACACTGCAGCATGTGTCAGTGTTTAACTCATTTTATGGCTGAATAATATTCCATGGCATGGATAGACCACATTTTGTTTAAGATAAATAATACTTTGGGGCGCCTGGGTGGCTTAGTCGGTTAAGCGTCCGACTTTCACTTAGGTCATGATCTCGCGGTTCGTGGGTTCGGGCCCCGCGTCGGGCTCTGTGCTGACTGCCAGCTCAGAGCCTGGAGCCTGTTTCAGTCTGTGACTCCCTCTCTCTCTGACCCTCCACTGCTAACGCTCTCTCTCTCTCTCCTAGAAATAAATAAAACATTTAAAAAAAAAAAAAAGATAAATAATACTTTAATGCCATGTTTTAAAAATGGATGCCAGGGGCGCCTGGGTGGCTTAGTCGGTTAAGCGTCCGACTTTCACTTAGGTCATGATCTCGCGGTTCGTGGGTTCGGGCCCCGCGTCGGGCTCTGTGCTGACTGCCAGCTCAGAGCCTGGAGCCTGTTTCAGTCTGTGACTCCCTCTCTCTCTGACCCTCCCCTGCTCACGCTGTCTCTCTCTCTCTCTCTCCTAGAAATAAATAAAACATTTTAAAAAATGGATGCCAAAAAAATCCATAATGAACAAAAAAATCAAAACTTCAAATAAAGACAGGATCAGTGTGGTGGGAAGCTTTTTTGGGCCCTGGGAAAAGAGGAACAAAATCAGTCACTCTGATCCCATCTTCATTTAAGGTTTTGATATTTTGTTCATCATGGATGTGTTCTCGATCCTTTTTGTTGCACTTATTCATTTGTTGTGTTACAATGTTGTCAATCTTGGTTACTAAGTCTTTGATGTTTCCTTAATTTGGGGGGAGGGCTTGCCCTCCTCCCAGCCATGGCCAGGAGGCTGTGAGGCTGGGTGCAGGGACCCTGGAGAGGGACCTGAGTTGGAGCCAGGGCCACAAGGGTGGAGCTAACTACAACCACCAGGGATTCAGGCATGTCCACTTGGACTTGAGAACCAACAGGGATGGGATTTGCAGGAGAGAGAAGCCAAGGATGAGTATTGGTTCCCCATTGACGGTGTAAGGAATCTTCATAAGCTGGTTGACAACCACCTACATTTTTTCTTATTCCACAGCTTCTGTAGGTCAGAGTCCGGGTGGGTCCTTAGGCCTCTCAGGGCTGAAACCAAGATGTCAGTATGGCAATCCTCTTCCAAGCTCATTCAAGGTGTTGGCTGAATTCAGTTCCTTGTGGCCATAGGACTGAGGTCCCTGGTGTTCACTAGCTGTCAGCCGAGGCCTGGTCTGCTCCTGGAAGCTGTCTGCATCCTTTTCGTGCTTTCCATACAGCTTCCCTCTGGAGGCGGTGAGTTGAATCCCTTTTAGGCTTCAAACCTCTCAGATTCCCCATTCTGCTCCATCTCTCTCCTGCCTCTACCCACAGAAAGTTCTCTGCTTTTAAGGGATCATGTGATTAGATGGGGCCCACCTGGATAACACAGGTGTATCAGTCAGGGTTCTCCAGGGAAGTCAGAACATGCAGTATGTACATGCACACACATGTATGAAGATATATGGGGATACGTGAGATGGAGATTGGATTGGAGAAGGTCACCTAAACCTTATTAGTCAAGGCTTATTTCTCTCTTTACAAACAGTGTGTGTTTATGTGTTGTTGTGTTACTAAAAATTACATTGAAAACAAACTAGTAGCAAATGTATCCAAACCAACCAAAGAAGATATGTAATTAAGATATCTATATACTCAATACATACATAAAATATTAATTTCTACTGATTACTGGGGAATACATGTCCCTAATAATATATATATATATATATATATATATATATATATGATTTGTTGCAATACACAGGTAATTTGTTGCTATATGTGCGTATGTGCATATATATATATAATTTGTTGCAAGGAATTGGGTTTTGTCCTCGTAGGAGCTGGCAGGACACAAATTCAGAGAACTGACTAGAAACCGTTAGGCAGGACAAGATGCTGCAGTCTTGGAGCAGAATTTCTTCTTCCTCAGAGAAACCTTCATTTTTCTCAACTGACTGGATGACACCTACCCATGCTCTCTCCTTTACTTAAAGTGATTGTAGACATTTAACCACATCTACAAAACGCTTCCATAGCAACACCTGGGTTAGTGTTTGAATAATCAGGCACTGTAGACTGGCTAAGTGGACACAGAAGATTCACCATCACACCAGGATAATCTATTTTAAGGTCTGTTGAGATACTTTAATCGTATCTGCAAAGTCCCTTTACTATGTAATCAATATATTCATGAGTTTCGGGCATTCATGCCTGGACATCTTGAGAGACACATTCCGTCTCCCCCAACAACCCTCAGAGAACAGGTCTTGGGGGATGATGGGGCCACCATCAAGGTGGAGAACAGAGGTGAGAGCGAGACAGGCTGGGGATTGTACCCAAGAGAGCAGGAAGCAAGGCAAGTTTGTGGGCAACTGACCTGCACATCCTTTGGGCCCCTGTGCTCAGAAGTGCTCTGCACTTGGTTTAATAATCTCCTGTGACCATCTTGAAATTATTAATAATTTTGAACAAGGGGCCCCACTTTTTCTTTGTAATGCACCCTCCCCTCCATTGTATAGCCAGTTCTGGAGTGAAGTGCAGGAAGAGCAGAGGCTTGGGACAAATCATCCAAGAAGGGTGACGTTGGAGGGCTAGCAAGAAGGAATGGAACTTGCTTGGACAAGGTCCTGGCAGCAGCCAGAGAAAGAAGGGGAGAGAGACGGGCTCCAGAAGCTCAGGGAGGTCACACAGTCTCTCTCTGCAGTCTCAAAAGCAAGCCAATGTGATAAGAAGATTCATTGGATTCAGTAACAACCCAGAGACCTGATAGCGGCCTGGGTGAGCTGCTAGGGGGCTGGCAACGGAAGCCAGATTGCTCTGGGTGGGGGAGGAGGTAGAGAGGAGGGGCAGACCCAGGAGTCTGGCAGTGTCAGGAACAGGGGAAAGATAAGAGTCAGATAGGGGGTCAGAAAAAGAGTATTGTTTCTTTGGTTGGTTTGGATACATTTGCTACTATTTTCTTTTAATGTAACTTTTAGTTACATGAACAATACATGAACACATCCTATTTGTAAAGAGAGAAAGAAACCTTGACTAATAAAGTTTCAATAACCTTCTCCAATCCAGTCTCCATCATGTGTATCCCCAGAAATTAATTTGGGCTTACGCCTCCCAGATGGTCTGGGTTATTGCAAACACATAAACCAGCGTTTTCCTATGCCATTTCTTTGTCTTTTTTTTCTTTTCTTTGTCATATGCCATTTGGAGCCAGATCATTCTTTGTCACAGGTGGGCTGGCCTGTGTACGTGGGATGTTCAACCCCATCCCTGCCCCCACCCACTGGATGCCAGTAGCACCCCTGCCTCCCTCCCTCCCCGCCCCCCGCCCCCGGGTTTGGACAGCTATCAGTGTTTCCAAATGTCCCCTGTAGGGGAGTATCCCCCCTTGTGAATACTGCTGATCGAGATAGTGCTCAAAGAAAACATTTATAAGAATTTTTTAAACATTTATTTATTTTTGAGAGACAGAGAATGAGCGGGGGAGGGGCAGAGAGAGGAAGACAGAATCTGAAAGCAGGCTCCAGGCTCTGAGCGGCAGATGAGGAGACAGAGGCCAGGAGAGTCCGAGGCCATGAGGGTGCAGCAACCAATGTACAAGCTATGGGGGTTTCTCCAGCATCTCAGGGATGTGCACAGGGGAGCTTGAGGCGCGGGGTGACCCAGGGTCAGGTTTTGCCACCAGGAAGGATTCCCAGCACCCAAAAGGACTTTGAAACACCCCATCTAGGTTCAGAGGGAGAGGAGAGAGGTTCAGAGAGGAGAGAGAGAGAGACAGAGAGACAGAGACAGAGAGACAGAAACACAAAGAGAAAGAGAGAAATCTACATCAGGGAGAAGAGGCTCCAGA